TCAGAGTTGCGTTGTTGTGAGGGGGGGTGTGCGGGTGGGCTGGGGGGTGGGTGGGGGGGGGGGGGGGGGGGGCGGGGGGGGGGCGCGCTTAGCCTCAGGTGGAGGAGTTTAAGCATTTGGGCATCTTGTTCCTGAGTGATGGCAGGATGGAGGAGAAGATTAATCAACAGATCAAGGCCTCGTCCTAAGTAATGAGGATGTTGTTTCAGTCTGTTGTGGTGAAGAAAGAGTTAAGTCAAAAGGCAAAGCTCTCATTAACTCGTCCGTCTACATCACAACCCTCACCTGTGGTCATGAGGTTTGGATCATGATGGAAAGAACGAGATCCGGAAACAAGCAGCTCCACCTTAGAGATCAGCTGAGGAGCTCCAACATCTGGGCGGAGCTTAAAGTAAAGCTGCTGCTCCTCTGCACCAAAAGGAGTCAGCTGAGGTGGTTTGGGCATCAGATTGTGATGCTTCCTGGACGCCTTTCTTGGGCGGTTTTCCAGGCATGTATATCTGAGCAAACCTAGACCTGGGGAATCCCAAGGCCTGGAAACACTTCAGGATCCCTCAGAAGAGCGTGTTGCTGGGGAGAGGGAGGTTTAGCTTTCTCTACTAGACCTGTTGCCTCTGAGATCCGACTACAGATAAACGGTAGAAGATGGAGATGTAGACTAAAATAATGATTGAAACACATGATTCTGAATAATTGGAAATATTTTTGACGCTGTGTCATATCAATTAAAATAAATGCAATTTCACAACACATAGTAAACTGTAGTATTTACCAAAAAAATAAAAATGTTAGGGGAGAGAGTTTTTTTTTATCCCACCTTTATTTAGTGGAAAGGATGGTTAAAAAATGGCTCATTGTGTCAATAGATGGTCTGAACTGAGCCTTTTCATTCAGAGGTTCACCCATTTATTTTTCTATTATCTACAGTAAATAAAAAGAAAATGATTTCAATAATCAAATTAAAATAAAGTAAAACAGAATAAAACAAATTAAAAATGGATTGCCCAGTGCTTTGTATGCCAAAGTTTCAAACTAAATGTCAGCGCTCTAAGTGCTCAACATCTGTCAAACAGCTGTAGACATGTTTTTTCATTCATTCATTCAACCTTTATTTATCCAGGTTAGTCTCACTGAGTCACGAGGAACCATTTACAAGAGTTTTAGACGGACAACAGATAAAGAACAAACGATGGTTAGCTGCGGTGGCCATCTTGAATTGGGTTGACAGCAAAAGGTAATCAGTTGTACAATGATGCCTTTCTGGGAATATTATTAAAACCTGCACAGTGATTCATTAGAAATGTTTCTAACAAACAAACATTCACACAGATAATTACATTATCACCCACAGTTTATGGCAGCAGGTAATAGCACAAATGTTACAAAGCTACTAATGAAGTCTGGAACTTTACCTTGGCAGAAACAAGTTTTTATTTGCTGAAACAGCTGAATAGTAGCTAAAACAAGCAGAAATAAGCTTAAATTAGTAGGAGGAAGTTGGGAGAACATGTTTTTTGCTGAATTAGGCTGAAAAAAATGTAAATGATTGCAAGAAATGTGAAATAGGCTGATAACAATTAAATTAGCATAAAAACAGCCAAATGCTAGCTGAAATAGCAGAAACCTACAGAAATAAGCTGAAAGGAGCACAAAATAGTATAAATAAGTTGGAAGAAGCGTAAAAATATTGAAGTTAGCTGCATTAAGCTGAAAGTAACATCTGAAAAACAGATGAAATTAGCTGAAGTAGCTGAATTATTTTTTTGTTTTCGTTTAGAGCCTATTTGGGATTGTTGTCAGCTAACAGTATGACAAGTTTCAGCTGAATAGCTCTAAAAAATGTCAACGTTATACTAGTTTTTCTCTAAAACAGCTGAACAGTAGCTAAAGAAATTTAGAAAACAGCTAAAACTTCAAAAAGGAGGTGGAGGGAGCTTAATTGTGCCCTCTAAGGCTGAAAAAGGCAGAAATTGGCACAGTAAATTTGACATTATCTGAGAAAAGCTGTAATTTGACAACAACAGCAGAATAGAAGCTAAAACAGGCAGAAAGAAGCTTAAGACACTAGAAGGAAGTCGGGAGAGTATGTTTTTGCTGAATTAGGCTGATAAAAGTTTAAATGATTGCAAGAAATGGGGAATAAGCTGAAAAAGATGAAATTAGCATAAAAACATCTAAATGCTAGCTTAAATCACAGAAGTAGCTGAAACCTACCGAAATAAGCTGAAATTAGTCAAAATAAGTTTGAAGAAGCATAAAAATCTTGAAGTTAGCTGCATGAACCTGAAAGGAACAGCTGAACAAGCAGCTGAAATTAGCTAAACTAGCAGGTTTTTGTTTAAAATGTTGCACAAGGAAGCTGAAACAACCTTAACCAGGTCTAAGTGTGCAAGTATTAGTACAAGGTCGTCAACGGGTCAAAAGATATGAAGGTTGGAAAATTAATATTTATTTCTCAAGGCTGCTGAAGTATATTTTAGAGACATCAGGGTAACAAACAAATCCCCATTTTCAGTGAACTAGCCCACCCACCCCCACCCCACTCTTTCAGGTCCACCTGTGTGACGCATCTGTTTGTGAATCCAGATGTTTTCCACTTACAGCAGTCAGCTCAGCCAGCCGGTCCTTCATCCTCCTGATCCGATCCGATCCGATCCGCGGGGCTCCTCAGCTCAGATCAACAGAACATCCTAAAAGCCTCAAAGTGTGGCGGGACATGCCGAGAACTGAAGGCGGGATGTTGGAAGGAAATAAAGCAGCTGACCCTTAAATCCAGGCCCCACGTGAACCAAAGTTTGGAGCCAAAACTTGAAAGCTCTGTTCAGCTGCCTTCTTCCTGGAACAGAAGTCGATATTTCCCCACAGCGACTGGAATCCTCCTCATCAACGACACTCCTCCTCTTCTCCCACCTCCTCCTTCCTCTATCAAACCTCAGGATGGAGATTAAAACAAATGTGTTGCTTCCTGAGTAGGAAATTAAACTTACATCATGCGGCTGATGTGAACAAAGACCATCAAATGAAAGAAATGTGTGAAGTAAATCCTTTAAAAGTTCTGCTGTGAAGTCTTTTCTGTGCCTCCGTGAATAAAAACCACGGTTTTCTCGCAGCTCGACATCAGTCCACCTCTCCACGGTCATATGAGCCGGTTGATAAATAAATAATAAATAGGTGAGGCGCTCGGATGACATGATGTTACTCACCTGGACGCCAGAGGGCGCTGTTCACCTGCAAGCTCGCTTTGAAGACAAGCCTGCTGCCTATAAAGAGCTAAGGAAACCTTTCACTAGATAAACTGAATTAAAATCTAACAAAAGGCACTCAGTTCTGCTCAGGTCTGTTTTTATTTTGCAGAATAGTTTAGGAAGTCTCTAATCTGCAGCTGAGATTTCAACCAGCTTTAATAAAATGTTAATAATTAATTTCCTTGAAGGGATGTCCGCCGCCTTTCATGCTGCAGCTTTAACCTAATATCATTATGAGAAATTATGTTTTTGGTCAAATCTTAAAAGAAATGCAATGAGCCATCTCGTGCATTACAGCTCGGTCTCGCAAAATCTGTTAGCGCTTGAAGTATGTGTTGTGAATGACTCTCAGCTACTACCACAGCGAACATTAGCACAATATCTGCTAAACTGATTGCGTTATAGCTATATGTGCGCATCCTAAAATCAGTTGGCTGTTACTGAAATTTAGATTTAGGTTTTCCCCCAAAGTTAATCAGCTCTGAATCGACATCTAACGGTTCTTTCCTGAAAGTTTCATTAAAATCCGTTCAATGCTTTATGAGATATTTTGCTAACAGACAATTTACTTTGCATAGTGAACAGCACAGTTTTAAATAACGGGCAATCTGCCAAACTGACTGAGGTAAAGGCATTTTGTGGCTGTGGCGGCCACTTCAATGGTTTTGACTGAAATTAATCACTTGTAGATGAATATTCACTGTTTTTTTTTTGTTTTTTTTTTCAGGTTTCTTTAAAATCAGTTCAGTGGTTCATGAGATGTTTGGATAAAAAACAGACAGGAAAAACATTAACGTCCACTTCAGCCTTTCGATGGTGGGCGATAAAAACCCGTTCCACCAGGTTCTGTGCCCCAATTATTTAACTGGACATGAACAGATGATCAGACCACAGTTTTGTCCACGTCACTGTCTCACATGTTGATCTGGACCGCAAAGATCTCCTTCATTTCCCTGCAAAATCTTCAGTTACGCACAAAGCGTGCCATTTTACGCACACGAGCTGAACAGCCCTCCTTCAGAAGGCCCAAAGCAGAAAAAAGAAAAGGAGAGATGACATCACGTTTTGTAATTCCCACGTTGAGTCCAGTCCAGCTCCGTGCACCTCCTCTGAGCTCCTCCACTCCTCGCAGATTGCAGGACCAGGCGCAGGAAGCCCAACAATCAGCAGCTTTCTGTCGGATCAACAAGTTTGGCTCCAGATGTTTGACCATGACTGAGCAGACTTGACGTTTTCCTGCTTCACTCTCTAAACTGAGCTTTAAAAAAATAATAATAATTTTACCACAGCTTGAAGACTTTTCTTTTTAGCTGGGACTCATGAACTCCTTAGATCATTTTGGAAACATGAGGAAAACCTTTTGGATTTATCTTTTTGTGAGGATTTAAAGTGATTTTTTTTTTTTTTTAAAGAATGCTCTGCTTTTTAACAGCAATGGAGATTTGTTTGAACTTTAGTCTTTTAACAGCTGTTCTCTCCTGTTTTAAGGTAAGTTCAACAGACGTGAGTCGGGGAAAAGTCTCATTTCCCCATGCGAAGGTTTAATCAACTTTTGATTTTACAGGTTTATGCTCAAGTGCTGTCAAATAAAAAGCACCCAGGTGAGTCATTTTAGAGACTTTAATCATTTTTTTGTATTTTTGTTGCGCCTGTTCTGTTTCTCTTCAAATCATCAGCTCATGAGACAGGATTGAATTTGGGGGAGCATTGTTACCATCCAGGCCAAAGGTTGTTATTGTTTACATCTGATTAATCAGAACAATCTGAACTTGCAGCTGTTTGATTCGTCCTCATCCATCATCCTTTAATTCATCCAAACTGGACGCTGCTGCGATGAATTCTGAGTAACGTTCGTTTTGGACTCTTGTGTGACTGATCTCTCTGTCCAGGCCTGGCGGTGTTGGCCACAGCTTCTCATTACTGGCCGCTCGACGCCGTGGACGGGATCCATGGACTGTGGGACCAGATTGGAAACAGGCCCGGTTACGTTAACGGGACGAACATAAGTATGAGCAGAGATTTGTTTCTGTGAATGAGCTGCCTGAGTAAACTTCAACACTTGAGCCACAGTTGAGCTTCATGAATGTTCCCCTCAGTTCAAAGCTCTTATTCTTCATATTCAGCAGAAAGTATTTTAATATCAATGAACGGGTCTGTTTTCATGCATAAGGTGCACTGGATTATAAGGCGCATTAAGCGAAACAAAACGGATAAGTCCAACTTTATTCAACTCATTCACAATAACCACATAATTTCTGTTCGAGGTCAGTAAACACAACCAGAATTAATGCGTAAGGTGCACCTGATTATAGAGCTCACTGTTGTTTTTGGAAAAAAATTAAAGGATTTTAATTGCACCTTATAGTCTGAAAAATACAGTAATAGTTTACTTAATGTGTCCTTTATTTTGAAAGCTACTAAAAATGAATGAATATGAATAAAATGAAAATGAATAAAAAATGCAAACTGACTCTGTACCTTTGCACAAACAGGCAGCTTGTTTTTTTTTTATGTGGAGTGAATCTGCAGGCGAGAAGTGAAAACTAACACAACTGTTAGAAAACTGCACCACCTAAAATGAATTGTTGTAAATGCAGGAAAAGATGTGATGACTAAAGTTGTTTTTGTTTGTTTTTTTCACAAAACTTTATTTGCATTATCACAGTATAACAAGAATACAATTGAACATAGTAGTGAAAAGAAGAAAAGAATGAAAGAATGGACAGAGGGAGCACAAATTGAACAAAAACATAAAAATAAAATTACCGTCATATGATTCTTGCAGGAAGAAAACAATTGTACAACATGTAACATGTGTGCTGAAGACTAAAGACAAAGATTGTAATTGAAAAGCAGCGCTGCCTCTAATGACTTCCTGTAAATTACAGAAAAGCTGTGCAGAGTCAAATGAGTTACAGAAACTGAAATGTTGTAGCATAAAATAAATTCCTTTACATTTATGTTATGTTATGTTGCTTATTTGTCACATGCAGGTTAACACAAGGTCAACAATGAAATGAAATGTTCAGGATGAGAAGAAGCGATTTGACTCGTTGGCACAAAATAAAATGCCAAAAAGTGAAAAAGAAACCTAATATTTACAAGGGCCAAAAGAAATATAGTGAATGACAAAATCATAAAATATAACGGTGCAAGTAGGATGAAGTAGTATAAATGTTATAAAATCTACTCGGTTTTAAACAAATTACCATAAATGCAGAAAAAGCCGTGCTGTCTACAATCACTTACTGAAATTGCTAGAAAAGTTGTAGCCTAACTAAAAAAAATGCAACATATTGCAATATATATATATAAATATAAATATATGAAACAAAACATGTACAAGTAAATATATACTTTTTATATATACTGTATATTTTGGAAAAGGGTAAAAATTGAATTCTCTTAAAATTGAACAGCTGATCAGGGCTCAGATAAGACATCTTTTGGGTCTAGAGCTGGCTCTTTTGTGAACGCTGACTATATTCTTTCTTTTGTTTTTGTTGATGTTGGCCATGACGTCAGTTGTTTTCTTTTCACAACAATGTTGTCCACCCTCTGTGAAATGTTGAAGTAGCTGAGAGGGATCGGGTATAGACACGAGCATGATGTGTGTCGTCTTGTTTTCTGTTGCCACTGAGCACGCCGCTCACCATCACTCTGTCTCATACCTGTGCAGCACGTCCCTCCCACTGTTTTCCACTCACTGTTCTCCTCTGTCACCCGTGGAGTGTCAATTACTGTTTGTTTGTTTGTTTGTTTGTTTGTTTCATCATCCAGCTCTCAGAGTCCACAACCACACTGTGCTTCCTCCACCTCATAACTCTTCCTATGTGTATACCAATGACTCTGCCTACACTAACATTTCTGCGATAGTAGGTGAGGATCCATCTCGTCCTTCACTTTTTATTTGTGCATCACACACATCTGTCTGCACACGAGTGAACTAAACATGTCACGTCTTTCTGTCTGCACTCGTTCAGTCTTGGAGTCTTGGATTAGTAGTTTAGATTTTCGCAAACTAGGTTTTAAAAAATACATTTTTGTTGACTTCTTGGTGATTTTATAAACTACATAACAAGGAAGGAAATTCTTAGATTGATATTTTAGACTTTTTTTTAGGTGTTTTTGGAAATGTTGTGATTAATCATTATCTTACCTGTTGTAGAAGAAAATCCTACAGGTTTTAATTTTGACCAAACTTATACATTAACTTTTGCACGTGGGTCCAAAACATGCAAAGTGGGTTGCTGCCATCCTAAAACAGTTTCGTTTTTATTTTTTTCTAACAAATTCATATAAACATTGTTTAATAAACTTTTACGTTGGTGTAGTTTTATGATACAGGGTTGTTTATATCAGGTTGAATGTTTAATATCGAGTGCAAAAAGCAGCGCCAAAAGCTAAATGAAGCCCTAAAGCCCTTCCTGAAGGACTATCAGAAGGGTTTTGCCTTAAGAACCATGATCTTTATAGGCTTTAAGTTTTTATGATATTGTTCACATGCACTACTATAAAAGCTGAGACAGAAATTGCTTTAAAATGGCGACACGGTGGTTCAGTTGGTATAGTTGTTGCCTCTCAGCGAGTAGGTCACCGGCTTGAATCCCATGAGGGGCCTTTCTTGGTGGACTTTGCGTGTTCTCTTTGTGCATGTGTGGGTTTTCTCCTGGTACTCCAGTTTCCTCCAACAAACCAAAAACATGCATGTTAGGCTGATTGGTAACTCTAAATTGTCCCTAGGTGTGAGTGAGAGAGTGAATGGTTGTTTGCCTTGTTTGTCTCTATGTGTCCCTGTGATGGACTGGAGACCTGTCCATGGTGTCCCCCGCCTCTCGCACAGTGACTGCTGGACATGGACACCAGTGACCACCATGACCCGAATAAGAAGAAGCAGAAGATAATGAATGAATGCATGGATGCATGGCTGCATGGATGGATGGATGGATGGATGGATGGATGGATGGATGGATGGATGGATGGATGGATGGATGGATGGATGGATGGATGGATGACCTGC